ATTGTCCAGTGATATGTATATATGTGTGTGTGTGTGTGTGTGTGTGTGTGTGTGTGTGTGTGTATCCACATTTAAAGACATTTTAAGGCCACTGTTATGACTGTATTCATGTAAGTGTACATAATTTTTTATCATATTTTTTTCCGATGTACTGTTCACATATTTAGGGAAGTTTTTATGAGAAAAATACATAATTATACCTTTTGTTGTTTACAGATTTGGAAATATAAAAAGGTCTTTTCTAAATAGAATTATTTTTTCCTGCTAGTCTATTAAATAAGTTGGCCTTTGAGACTGACATCTAGTGATGATGCAATATTTACTGGAACATATTACAGCTTAATGTGTCACTTAAGGGGGGTAAAGTCAACATCGCCACCAATCATTAGAACTTTGGGAGGTGCATTTATTTCCTCTTTTCACAAAACAACAAGAAAAAAGCAGACAAGTTAATAAAAACAAACTAATTCCCAGTAAAAAATCTATAGAGGGTTTTTCTATTGTACTGCCCTTAAAATCCCTTCAGAAACATGATTCTGACTAGACATTATGGTTACTGACTCATTCCTCCAGTCATATTCTCTCAGCACTTGTTTGGCAGGACATACATTTCTGAGGTTAAGAAAAAAACAGAGCTTAGACAGAGCTGAGCAGTCAAACACACACACACACACACACGCCCCACTGACACAGAGACCTTTGTACTGATTCCCCTGCTGAGTGAAACACTTCATGTTTACAGTTGGGAAGATGTTTACTGGAAATGAACTCTTCACTTTGGCATTCAATTCATTTTCTGACTCATCTGAGGTTCTGATAAAAGGCAGTCTTATTTATTAAAGCCCTCCACATGCTTGTCTTTTGTTGCATGGTTTCTGCGGGTCAAAGGGGTGGTTCACTGTTTTTTTTCTAGGCTTGATTGTGTTTATGGGGTGCAATCTAACATGTGTTAATGCTTCGTTTAAAAAAAAAAAAAAACGCATTATTTTTCACATAATTTACCTTTATTCCACACCACTCTGTCACTTCTCTGAGAAACGGGCTGATCTTTTCCTGTTTTTTTGAAGCCCCACCCTCAGAAATAGGCGATGGGCTGTGTTGTGATTGGCTAAACCGCATCTAGTGCGTGTCTAAATGTCCCGCCCCTCACCTCAGCGGCATGTGCTTCGGTTGTATTGTAAACAACGGCGTCGTTAATATCGCTTACTCAGTTTGAGCCCGATTGAGAAGCAGAGGATATTAGTGAAGAGGATCATGCAGAACCTTTTAATGGTAGGCCTATGTTTTTTTGTTTGTTGTTGTCTCATACTTTTAGTTATGCTGTTATTTGTAAATGCTACTGCTTATGTTAGCTTTTAATATACGTTTTTATCCTGATTAAAGCTTTAATACAGTACGGCAACTGCACGCGCGTCCATGTTTAACGCTTCTCATAGCTATGTAAAAAATAAGTGTATAATTGAAATAAGTCAGTGAAAAAGTATCTTTTTTTTTTATAAAAAAAAAACAAAACAAAAAAAACACTAGCTTTCTATTTTTTTTATTCTATCTACTTGTTTTTCTTTGTATATATGTGTGTGTATAATATATATATAATATTATATATAACCGAGACTTGTCATTTGCACTTATATACAGTATTGTTGCTCTTTTGTTAATTTTGACTGCTTTTATTGTCCTCAGTGAATCTATTAGAATCGTTAGAAGACAGAATCGCGATTCATATATGAATAGATTTTTACGTGCACCCCTAGTTTTCTTCCTCTTCTCTAAAGCAGCACAGCATGGCATCGCCCCCTTTGCTGTCTTTCCCCGGGGGCAGGTTTATCTGGGCTTGTTATGTCACGAACCCGGGAAGTAACTCGTTGTAGTCCCTACCAGCCGTTTTTGTAGGCATTAAACTGCCAGAATTTTAAAAGACGATATCTCCGTTTGCATTGAACTTTCAGCTTCGTAACTTTGCAGATATTGTTTATGCTCAAACAGCAACATTACACACTAACGTTAAAAAAGTGAAATCGCAATCAACCACCCCTTTAAAAAGTCTTAATTCACCCTTCCACAAAGTAAGGCCTTAAAAAGCCTTAAATCAGAGCAGAAAGTATTGAATTCATAAAGTCATGACATTAAATTAATGTAGTATTTTTGTTTTCCAATACAGATATCTAAACATCCTTATCTCAAATACATTTATTTGAGATGCAAATGTAAAATTAAAAAATGAACACAATTATGTTAGTATATGCTTAAAACAAGAACAAATATCTGTCCATGGGGTATGAGAACTTGTTTTCCCTTTGAATTAAGTTGATTGGCAGATATCTGTGCTTGTTTTAATCATGAACTCGCTTAATTTTAATCACTTTCACAGAAAACAAGAATTCTAATGTAATTTTACTTCTGAAGTAAAATCTTTAGACATTTGCACTGGAAAACAAGACAAAAAATACTGTGGAAGAACAGCACTTCAGTGGGATCAGAAGTATGATAAAAGTTATTTCCATATTCTAGTGCTTGGTAGCAAAGGTATTCTTAAACTTTTTTTATTTTTTATGAATTCAAAAGTAATTTAGGTCAGTTGGAAGTTGTAAAATGTACACTCTAAAAAATGCTGGGTTAATTATAACAGCGGTTGGGTTCAAAACAACCCAACCGCTGGGTCAAAACAACCCAATAGCTGGGTTTGTCCCTTTTTAACCTAGCTCTGGGTTATATTTAACCCAGCATTTTTTAGAGTGTACATTTTCCTTCATCAAACCTGCAGAAACCCTGGTTTTAGTAGAATTGAAGAGGTGTTACTGATAGTAAGATACATGACCTTATATTGGTCCAGCAATGCAAGTGTTTTTTGTAATTAGGGACTTTGTGATTCTGTATCTCGTGTGTTTCAGCTCTACAAAAACCTGTGGTCTACAGTTATGCAGGGTAAGAACGTCCTGGAAAGGCCATCTTGGTGGGACGAGTTTTGTTCTGACAAACCTGCAGTTGGATCTCTCCGAGTCAAACTGTAACTCTTCACGCTGGAAAACATTTGGGAAGCAGGATCATTGCAAACATTCATCTGTTTGTCCTGAAAGCCAAGACGTTTTATGATCATGTACAGTCTGTATGTACAGATACAGTCACACGGTTGTCATTGATAAATTCAGTTTATTGAAAGATAGTAACAGCATATGGAATAAGACACAGAGGGTAGAAAAGTCCAAGAAGAATCTCAGCCATGTTTATCTTGGTGTAAAATGATAAACTGATTCACTAAAACTTACTAATATCAGCATAAAGCAAGATTTGTGATGTACTGTACAATGCAGTATTATAGCACTTCCTGATTCATTGTGCCATGGTAAACTCATTTGTTTGGTTTGACTGATAAATGTTGCTACATTGAAAGATTGAGTCAAAGATCATCAGATCTATTGTTTGATTATTGTTTGAATGCACAAACAGCTAAATCATAGCAAAACCCTTAACAATAACAGTGTTCAGATGCCTCCTAATTGTACAAATAATGCACGTTGATAACTGCTTTCATAGATCTGCTTTGGACTGAACTTGTATGATTGATTATTTTACATAATGTTAGTTTGATTATGGAATGTTGAATGATTTTGAGCACAACCCCTTGTGTGTACAGTATGTTTAATACATATGTAATATGTAAGAATGTAATGATAATAAATCTTGACTTTTTATCAAAATAAATATTTTTAAATACTTTGTACTGAAATATTTAAGGCGCCCCCAGTCAAGTCTGTGTTTCTGCAAGAGCGCGTCTCATTGAACTAACATTCTTACACACACACACGCAAATCTAACAGCATGTGGCTTCTTTGTGACACTCCACTAGTTTGTTTTTATTGATGTGGTCAGGTTTTGAGAGGACAAAGCGTGTAGCAGACTTCACAGCTGATGAACTTGAATGAAACCATCTGAAATGTGCATTAATCTTTAACATCGATGAGTTTATTTGTACAAAATGTTTTACATTTTATAATCAGCTAGTATTTCACCTACTAAAAAGTATTAGGATCTTGCCATGATTTTCCATATAAACCATGGTAATACCATGGTATGTATCATGTGATATGAATATAATCATTCAGTACTATGCTATATCTACGTAGAATTACTTTCTGATACCATTACTGTACCATGGTACCACTGTGTTGGTTAAAAGGTGATGCTCCCTTATCCTATAGAAATATTGAAAAATTGAACTTGTTTTTGTCTCAAACCAACATGTTTTGAAGTGATTTTTGATTGAAACCAATGGCTACATTTAAGGAACTGTAATTTGTGATTAGCCGCATAGATGATTATTATTATTGCAGAACACACCCAGTGTAACACATCTTTGTTTCATTTATTTTTTACGCCAAGTCTTTATTTACCCGGCTTGTAGACAGCAAGGTCCATTCTGGGTTAAACCACTTGGGTGTGTTGGCATAGCACTTAAGTCACAACAGCCTGCTAATATAAATCGACCAAATGTTTCTATTTATCTTTACTATTGAAAGACTCAATTCTGATTTCCTGCATGGCTACATGTGGTTCAGCTTAAATGCTGTACTTCAACACAAATAACATAGCCTATATTACTTCAAATGTTATATACTGTCTGTTTGTGGTTTTTATAGTCAGATTTAAGGGCAAATTAAATTAGCATGTTTTAAAACTGGGGGAAGAGAAATGCGAAAAGATGTTACACGTCTGAGGAAAAGAATGTTAAAGGGGTTATGGCATGGATTTTTATTATTTTAATAACTATCTTCTTTGAGGTAAACATATAATGTTGTTATATGTAAAACTTATGTTTAACCCTTAAGGCTCCCTTAAAGGGGTCATATGCGATTTCAATTTTTCCTTTATCTTTAAAGTGTTATAAGCTCTTGGTGCATAAAGAAGATCTGTAAAGTTGCAAAGACTATTCTCTTTCAAATCCAAAGAGATATTCTTTATAAAAGTTAAGAATCAGCCACGCCTACCTAAAACGACTCGTTCTAACACACCCCCACATGTCTACGTCACGACGTGGACGAAGCAGAGTCCAGCCCGGGGTCGTCACATGTGGTTGCCGCAAGCCCGCCGGACGCTCCTTCGTCGAATCCGCTGGCTGCGCCATTCTCAAGCCCGCCGGCCTCCGCTCACTCAAGCCCACCGTGTGTGACGCTATGTGTTTCGTTGTGAAAGCGAAACTACTTTGTTTGGTCTTCCAAAAGAGGACACGACTA